TTCTAAGACTGGAAGGGAAAACGAAGCCAAGAACAATTATTATTAATAGTAATGATGATTATTATTCTTATTGTTATTTTATTATTATAAAAAAAACCAAAAAAAACTTTTTCACTTGAAATTTATTGGTGAAAACTTGAATGAATTTTCCTGACCAATGAAATAGTGACATGTTCCCCATCCAAATCAATCAAAATAATAGCTCTTAAAGTGTTAGATCATAGAAAATCTCCAGGGCCAGACTTACTAGATCCTTACTTCTTGAAACTGGCAGCTGATTTTGTGGCAGAGCCTCTCACAACACTTTTCAACCTCACACTCGATGTGAATGAAATTCCCTCAGTGTGGAAATCAGCTTTTGTTGTCCCTCTGTTAAAGGGGGCGGCCCAGCAGTGTTAACTAATAACAGACCAAAATCTAAACTATCTGTGCTGGCCAAAGTTCTTGAAGCTCCTCTGTTTCAGCAGTTAAAGGAGTTTTTAGACACCAATGCAATTTTATCTGAATATCAATCAGGCTTTAAGAAAGATCCCTGGAACTCTTTTGAGGAAATGAAAGGATTTTAAGCACACCTTATAGTCTGAAAAAATGCGGCACTGAAGTTATTGTGCTTAAAGTGCTTCACTGAGCTTAAATTGAAAATATCTCAAGATACATAAAATAAAAAGAAAGTCAAAATTAAAAATACCTCAAAGGCTTTGAACTGAACATCTAAATAAATGCACATCTTACCTTGGGCACAGGCATCAGAGGTCCCTCCCTGACTATCTCTGAATGTAACAATAATAAGTCAGGAAGTGTACTTCTAAAATGTCTTTGTTTCCTCTGTAAAGTGTGCATTTTTTGGTGGTTATTTTGAGGAGCTGTCTGGATGAGGCTATTTGAATAACCAGGATATTCATTACTGTCTTTTATTCATTGATAATATTAATATTAAGCTTTGAGTAGTGGCATTTAATTAAAGCATTTATTCAATATATTACATATATAATTTGAGTAGATTGTTACACATATGAGAGTGGCCTCTGTCTGGTTGTGAGCTTTAGTAGGTGAGGTGAGAGGTGAAACAAAGTGGAATTGAGGTCGGGTGACATATACACACACACATCTTAGGTAGACTTTTTGCAACTTATGCATGTATTGTATCTGCTTGGCGCATGAGGGGGCGTCATAAACAATACCCTGATGGTATAAAAACAACTGATTGTGTTCGAGTGAGATCGATGCTGTCTGCGTACAGTGTTCATCTCCCACACGTGTGTTCATTAAAATCATCGTTTGACCGACTCTCCTGGACCAGTGTTGTGATTTTGAATCCCTCCTGTATCCCTCCTCAATATTTGAACCCTTAAGTTTAGACCACGATATGGGCACAATGTGTGTCTGTTGTTGACCACACAGAGACTTTCAGAGTTGCAAAGACTTCTCTTTCTTTTTTTTCATTTGAATGGCTGGTCTATGATTTTTTTGGCAGAACACTGGTGGAATGTGCAGGTGTCGCTGTGCGCAATTAGATTATTGTGGGAATTCCCTACGTCATTTTCCCTTTCTGTGCGTCTGTGCAGAGACACCCGCATGATACACAAATCGAGCAAACAGCAGCAGCACGGAGCCGGTGGTGCAACACTTTAGCGGTGCGTTCAGCTACTCTAAGCAGCACCTTCATGATTGGTTTGGGTCATGATGGGGGTATAATGTTGTCTGCTGTTGGCCACACAGAGACTTTCAAAGTTGAGGAGATTTTTTGTTTTTATTCGAACGGCTGGTCTCAACTGTAAGTTGTGTTAGCGCTACTTTAGCATCTAGCTAGCCCTGCTGAAGAGCAGCGAGCATAAAGGGAGGAACGTTTTTGAAGTGTCAGCTAATTTCAAATGAAACGTTTCGATCAGCTCAACAAACATCAGCAAACACAAACTGTTTGTGTGCAGTTTATCTCACAGTGTGTTGCAGCTAAAGGTCCAGCTGCTGTTTTTCACAGGGAGAGAAAGAAAGAAAAGAAAAGCTGCTGTAGGAGAGGAACCCAAGCTTTGGCATCGCTCTGAAAACTATCGCTGATCCTTTTACTCGCTGGCTTTCAAATCAAAGCTGGAATGAAATTTGTGGCGTTTGCAGGATCGAATCAATCACACAGGATCAGGAGAGAAGACAGCAGAGCAGCTGATTTTACACCTGAAGATACAACTGTAATGTTAGAAACATGAAGATATTACACACACAATACAGACTGCAGCTCAGACAGCTGCTGGAGACAGGTGTGTGTGTGTGTGTGTGTGTGTGTGTGTGTGTGTGTGTGTGTGTGTGTGTGTGTGTGTGTGTGTGTGTACTGTAACTCCTTTATTCCACACAGACAGCTTCAGCATTTGTTCTGCTTTCTCTGCTTTTATTTGAATGTGACAGAAAAACACGACTAGAATTTACACAAACGTGTTTACAGGCTGACTTTAATGTGTTTCTGCACATGCTTGTCCTCTGGTCATGTGATCATGTGGTTTGTAGGACGCTCCTCTTCCTCAGAGGATCCACCTGTGC